TGCTGCTCCTGTTGCTGCTCCTGTTGCTGCTCCTGTTGCTGCTCCTGTTGCTCATCCTGTTGCTCATCCTGCCGCAGCTCCTTCGGCTCCTGCAGCTCCTGCGGCTCCTGCGGCTCCTGCAGCTCCTGCGGCTCCTGCAGCTCCTGCGGCTCCTGCGGCTCCTGCAGCTCCTGCGGCTCCTGCGACTCTTGCAGCTCCTGCGACTCTTGCTGCTGTTCTTGCTGCTGTTGCTGCTCATCCTGCTGCTGGGGCTCCTGCGGCTCATCCTGCTGTTGCTCCTGCTCCTGCTCCTGCTCCTGCTTCTCCTCCTGCTCCTGCTCCTGCTCCTGCCCCTGCTTCGGCTTCGGCTTCGGCTTCGGCTTCTGCTTCGGCTGCATCGGCGAGGAGACATCCCTGCCGAGGGACGCGTCCACCACCCGCTCCAGGCAGCACGCAATGATGTCCTTGGCGAGGGCGATGAACTTGTCCTGCTTCGGTGGGTGGAATGCCGTCAGGGCGCTGAAGGCCTTCATGCGAATGGACGCCGGCAGGTCCAGCTGCTTCAGCACCTCCGCCGCTTCGGTCGCCTGGAACCCCCGCACATGGAAGCAGAGCTTGGCCATATTGTCGGCCAGATCCTTGTCCGCGGTGGGGGAAGCCTGCTTCGCAAAGAAGGTCGAAAGGATGATGGCCGCCAGTAGGGCCCGATCGAGGCCGCGCTGGAGATTGCCCTCCAGCAGATCATCCACCATCCTCAGGAGGGCGACAATGTTTTCCTCCCAGTGCTGGCCCAAGTTGTAGTTGGACTCTTGGGTCGACGGGGCGCGGAAGCCCCAGCCATCCGGCACCGGCACCGGCACCGACTGGCACTCCCTCACGCGGATCATCTTGACCTGCTTGGCTGCGCCGCCATGCGGCCCGCGCGAGAGCATGGTGTACAGGAGCAGCCGGGCATGCCGGCTCCGGTCCCACACCGTGGCCCCCTTCGGCAGGATGGCATACTGCGGCAGGGGCGGCATGATGGACAGCTTCAAGCCCTTGATGATCCACAGGTCGGCCTTGAAGGTGTCCACGATGCGCGAATACGGCCTCTGGATGTTCTTGGGATGGGCCATGCAGAAGGCCTGCGCAAAGAGCGGCAGATGCGGCTGGCCCAGCATCAGCGGCTGGATCAGGTACGGGGCCTCGTGGCATTGGCAGAGCCGATGCTTGGGCCCCTCCCCGGCGCCGGTGCCCTCCTCCGCGGCCGAGCCGGCCGGCGGCCCGACATGTGGGCCGGGCTTCTGGCTCCGTGGCGGGGCCACCTCGTCCGGGGCCCCCTCGGGCTTGGCTGGCTTGGTCTTCCGGGCCGCCTTGGCCGGGGCCTTGCGGCCGGCTGCTTTCTTGGTCCCGGGCTCACAAGGGGGCTCATCCGTGGCATCCGACTCTGGGGGGCTCGGGTCCGTCGAGTCGGACGCCTCGACCGACGGCTCCGTGGTGTTGGGCCCCAGGCCGGCCAAGCCCTCATTCCCGGAGTCCTCCAAGCTCTGGGTCTCGGACTCCCGAGCGGACGGGCTGTGCTTCGCCGGGTCTTGGGCGGCGGCCGGCGGCTCGTCCTCCGGCCCTCGGGCGGCTGGCTTTTTGGCCTTCGGCTCGGGGGCGCCGGGCTTCTTGGCCTTCGGCTTTTTGCCCACCGGCTTGGCGCCAGCCGCGTCCTGGTCGGCTGGCTCCTTGTCGTTGGTCTCCGTGGCATCCGGCGCCGGGGCCGCGGGCTTCTTGAGGGGCGGCGCCTTCTTGCTGGCTGGCTTCTTCGGGGTGGTGCTTTTGGCGCTGGCCTCATTGGGGTCGGCCCCGTTGGGGGTATCCACCTTGCCGCTGGCGCCGGTGGGGTCGGTCGCCTGGGAGGCGGACTTCTTGGAGGGTGCGGGCTTCTTGCTGGCCGGCTTCTTCGGGAGGGGCTTCTTGGCATCGGTCTCGGTGGCGTCGGCTCCGTCGGTGGTGGCCCCCGTGGCGTCGGGGTCCGCGGCGGCAGCCAGCTTCTTCTTGGCGACCGGCTTCTTGGCGACCGGCTTCTTGGCGTTGGGGCCCTGCTTGGGCGGCTTGGCCTCGTCGGGGTCCTGGCTGTCGGCCGCCTGGTCGTCGCACTTCTTCGTGGAGGGCTTCTTGGGGCCGGGCTTCTTGGCCGGCAGGTTTTGGGCTCCCGGCTTCTTGGTGTCGGGCTTTTCGTCGGTGGCCGGCACGGCGTCCGGAGCCGCGGTGGCCGGCTTCTTGGCAGCCGGCTTCTTCGCGGCCGGCGGCTTCTTGGCAGCCGCCGGGTCCCGGTTGATGTCCTTCTTGGCGCCCTGCTTGGCCATCAAGAGCCCCGCCTCGGCAGGCAGCATGTCACCGGGCTCCCGGTCATCGACCAGCCGAGGTGCGGGCCGCCGATGGGCAGATTCCCCATGGGCATCCCCCCCGGCGGCACCGGCATCCTCGCCATCATCCTCCGTCGTTTGGGGGTCTCCTTGCTCGGCGGGCCCCTGATCAGCCATCTGCTCGTCGATGGCGTCGGCAGTGCCGGGCTTGTCGGCGACATTTCCCGTGCTGTGGGATTCGTCGTCGCCGAGGTCGCCGTCGGGTGTCCCTTCGTCGGCAAGCTCCTCATCGGTGAGCTCCTCGCCGGTGAGCTCCTCGCCGGTGAGCTCCTCGCCGGTGAGCTCCTCGCCGGTGAGCTCCTCGCCGGTGAGCTCTTCATCGGTCAGCTCCTCGCCGGTGAGCGTCTCGCCGGCGGACTCCTCATCGGTGAATACCTCATCGGTGAGCTCCCTGTCGGTAGGCTCCTCATCGACGGTCTCCTGCGCGAGGATCTCCTCATCGATGGTCTCCTCATCGCTGAACTCCCCGTTGGTGTGTTCCTGCTCGACGGTCTCCTGCTCCGAGATCTCCTGTTCGATGGCCTTCTGTTCGACGATCTCCTGCTCGGTGGTCTCCTCATCGGTAGGCTCCTCATGGACAGTCTCCTGCTCGAGGAGCTCCTCATCGGTGAGCTCCTGCTCGACGATCTGCTGCTCGACGATCTCCTCGTCCACGGTCTCCTCGTCCATGGTCTCCTTGTCGGTGGTGTCCTGCACGGCGATCGCCCGGTCGGTGAGCTCCTGCTCGGGAATCTCCTGCTGGGCAAGCATCTGACCGGCAAGCTCATCCTCGGAGACCTTCTCCGCGCTGGGCTCCTCGTCAACGGACGACTGGTTGCATGGTCCCTTGCCGGCGAGAGTCCGCTCGGCAGGCACGCGATCCGCCGGCTGCAGGTCGATGGACTGCTGGTCGGTGGACTGCTGGTCGGTGGACTGCTGGTCGGTGGACTGCTGGTCGATGGGCTGCTGGTCGATGGGTTGCTGGTCGGTGGGCTCCCCGCTGGCAGATTGCTGGTCGACGGGCCGGTCATTGACAAGCATCTTGCCAACAAGCTCATGGCAGGAGAGCTCCTCGTCAATGGGCTGCTTGCCATCGCCAGCCTCCTCCGTGTGGTCCTGGTCGGTGGGCTCCTCGTCGGCGAGCTTGTCCTCGGAGCACGCCCCATGGGCAGCCCCTCCCATGCTGCTGGTCGGACATTCGCCAGGCTCTTGCCCGACAGGCTCCAAGTCGACTGGCTCCCCGGGGCAGGGCTTCCGGTCGGCGGCTTGCAGGGCGCTCGCCTTCACCGAGGCCGCAGGATGCACGGCCGGCTTTTTGGCCCGCGGCTTCTTGCCCACCGGGGTGCCAGGCTCCGGCTGCACATGGGTCGACCGGGTGATGCTGAGCGGCTTCCCCGGAGCGAGGGCGCTGCGTTTGGGCGGGTCCTTGGGGCAGACCAGGCTCGGCGGCTTCTGGGTAGACACCAGGCACCAGGGATTCGCCGGGTCCAGGCGGCAATGCTTTTCCAGGTAGAAGCGCAAGTCATCGGCATACTTCTTCTGCTGCAGATTGCCCATGGCCGTGAGCCCGGCATTGTAAACCCCCAGGCAGAAGAGGATCCCATCGCGGATGCCCTTGAAGTTGCGCTGCTTGCTCCACTGCTGGTTCAGGACATCGCGCTTGAGCATCATCACCCCCGGGCCGCTGCACTGGGTCAGGTACCTTTCCAAGGGCAGGATGTCGTCGTGCCGGGCGCGCATGACCTGCAGCACCGGCAGCGGGATCTTGCCCCAATTGTTGTTCGGCCGATAGTGGAAGGACACCAGGTCCGTCGGCTTCGGAAGGGCGCCAAGCAGGTCGCGCAGGATCTCCACCGTCAGATGCCGGGTCCGCATCTTCTGGCGCCAGTTCTCGATGAAGCCCTTGCCATCCTGCGGCCAGGGCTTGTCCGGGTCGTCGTAGCAGGAGAGCGCCTGCTTGAAGTATCCGCTCAATACGTCGCTCGTCCGCCCGAGGCAATCTTTCACCAGGAACCACACGCGCCCATCCGGCGGGCCGAAGTCGCACCCCATGATCAGCGGCAGCCAGGCCAGCTGGACGGAGTCTGTCGCCGGATATGCGCCCCCCAACGCCCCGCCGTCCGCCCGGCCGCCGGGACCCAAAAAAAAAAAGACGCCACCAGCCGGAGCGGCCCCGGATCCCAGCCCCCGGGGGCGGTGGTGGTCATCAGGAGAAGAGCACGATGGAGGTTAGCTTTCCCGCAGGGACCATCGGCCTTCCGGCCGCCGCCCGACCCCCCCCCCCCCCCCCCCCCCCC